ATTGTGTTAGTGGATAGCTCAGCAAATGCCATTTATATAATGCATTTATATGCACCCAGCAGCATGGAGATGGCCCAAGTAATTAGGAATGGTTTGGGTTTATTTGCCTCTACAACCTGAAGGCAAAAATTACCATTGTTTAGAACAATATTAAATTGAATGGCCTGTGGTATTTGCTATGGGCATGGACTGTATATTGGGAGAAAAGAGAAGCTGCATAGATATGCATATGGATTGTGCTGCCTGAAATGGGTAACAATAGCAGATACTGTAAAAGGGAATAGTTGATGAAGTTAGGCAGCAGGGGCTGTGTGTCTGGCTAAAGCAAACAAAACACAAAGAATGAGTTTAAATGGTTACTTCCTGTGAGTTCCTGTAGCAAATGTCTCTTGCTTAAAATAAAATAGATTAAGATACTCATCAAGTACCAGAGATTCATACAATCTTTGGGTTGGAAGGGACCTTTAAAGGTCATCTAGTCCAACGCCCCTGCCATGAGCAGGGACATCTTCAACTAGATCAGGTTGCTCACAGCCCCGTCCAACCTGACCTGGAATGTTGCCAGGGATGGGGCATCTACCACCTCTCTGGGCAACCTGGGCCACCCTCGTTGTGAAAAATGTCTTCTTTATGTCTAGTCTAAATCTGCCCTATTTTAGTTTAAAACCATTACTCCTTGTCCTATCGCTATAGGCCCTGCTAAAAAGTCTGGCCCCATCTTTCCTACAAGCCCGCTTTAAGTACTGGAAGGCTGCAAGAAGGTCTCCCCAGAGCCTTCTCTTTTCCAGGCTGAACAACCTCAACTCTCTCAGCTTGTCCTCATAGGAGAGCTGTTCCATCCCTCTGACTGTTTTTGTGACCCCCCTCTGGACCTGCTCCAACAGGTCCATGTTTTTCCTGTGCTGAGGGCTCCAGAGCTGGATGCAGGACTCCAGCTGGGGTCTCACCAGCGTGGAACAGAGGGGCAGAATCACCTCCCTCGACCTGTTGGCCATGCTGCTTTGGGTGCAGCCCAGAAGACTGCTGGCCTTCTAGGCTGTGAGTGCACATTCCTAGCTCATGTCCAGCTTTTCATCCATCAGTAACCCCAAGTCCTTCTCAGCAGGGCTGCTCTCAATCCTTTCATCCCCCAGCCTGTCCTGATAACAGGGGTTGCCCCAAATCTGTATGCAGGACCTGGCACTTGACCTTGTTGAACCTCACGAGGTTCACATGGGCCCATTCCTCAAGCTTGTCCAGGTCCCTCTGGATGGCCTCCTGTCCCTCAGGCGTGTCAACTGTACCACTCAGCTTGGTGTCATCTGCAAACGTGCTGAGGGTGCACTCAATCACACTGTTGATGTAATTGATGAAGATATTACTGGTGCAACTACAGACTCATCACCAATCTCCATCTGGACACTGAGCTATTGACCACTGCCCTCTGGATGCAACCATACAACCAATTCCTCATCCACCCAACAGTCCACCCATCAAATCCATATCTCTCCAATTCAGAGAGAAGGATGTTGGGGGGGACCATGTCAAAGGCATTGCAGAAATCCAGATAGATGACATCAGTAGCTCTTCCCTTGTCCACTGATGTGGTCACTCCATCCTAGAAGGCCACTAGGTGGGTGAGGCAGGAGTTGGCCTTGGTGAAGCCATGCTGGCTGTCTCGAATCACCACCCTGTCCTCCATGTGCCTTAGCATAGCTTCTAGGAGGGTCTGTTCCATGATCTTCCCAGCACAGAAGTGAGACTGACAGGTTGGTACTTCCCAGGGTCCTCCTTGCTACCTTTTTTTAAAATGGGTGCAATGTTTCCCTTTTTCCAGTCACCAGGGACTTTACCTGACTGCCAGGACTTTTCCAATATCATGGAGAGTGTCTTGGCAACTACATCAGCCAATTCCCTCCGGACTCTGGGACGCATCTCATCAGATCCCATAGACTTGTGCATGTTCAGGTTCCTCAGGTGGTCTCAAACCTGATCTTCTCTTACGGTGGGAGAGAGTTTGCTCCTGCAGTCCCTGTCTTGCAGTCCATCTCCTCAAGAGGTGTAGTCTATGGTATGTAGTCTAGCTTTCCGGTGCTGACATGGTTGGGAGTGCTTACAGAGAGAATTAATGGATAAAGCAAGCAGCGGTGTACACATTATCAGTGCCATATACACAGCGAATTGAAATTTAAAGGGAAACTCTGTGCTGTATCTTCCTTTGTTCATCCCATCACCTTTCTGGAAACAGTTGCTTCCAACTGACTCAGGAGAGGATGTACCCCCACGCTGTAGGCATTTAGCTTAATGTTCCCGTGAATTAGCCTGAATCCTTGATGAACGCTGTAAAACTGTAACACTGTAAAACCAACATAAGTATGAGTTGGAAGACTTGGTCTTGCTTAGGGTGCCACCAGAATCAGTTGTCAAGTTCTGGAGTTGGTGTGATTTTATGCTGAGTAAGGTCTGTGACTAAGGAAGTGTAAGGTGAACTAGGTCTTCAGGCTCTAGGTATTCAGAGTTGGGCAGCTCTACTTCTTAAATTTAAGCTAGAAGAGGACTCAGATTTATCTGTGTTGCGTTGTTATACTTTTTCATACAAGGTACTGTAGGAGGTTTTTCAATGGGTTTTAATTTTGGCTAAAACTTGATTATGTTACAAGCTGATTATAGGAGGCCTGGAGTTGCTGATACATGTCACTTGAGAGGGATGTAGCAAGGTCTGCCTGGTGGAGCTGTGGGCATTCTCAAGGATGCCCAGCCATTCTCTTTGCATCTTTAAAACACAAAGCAGATGCTGGGAAATCCCCTCACCCGCTTTCTCACCTCTGCAGTCACACACAGCAGAAACTGTACAAATACATGCACTGAGGAGTGCCTGGGCCTGGTTACAGTGGGGGTGAAGTGTTCTGGAAGAGGTTGTATAAAGTTATGTCAGACCTGACAATTCAGAAATGGTGCTGGATATATTTAAGCAAGATAGTGTAGTAAATACCAATGAATTAATCTGAAGACAAGTAAACATGGGAGTAAATTGTGTGGAAAAGTACCTTCTCTTCTGTGAGCTTGGGGAAGCTTTAGCAGTTGGGAGGAGAGAGGTCCGGGTGGGATAGTGGGTAAAGCATTTATACTGGGATGGGAAAGTCGTGGTTCCCGTTCTTGTTCTGCTCTTTTCATCTGTTTGGACATATAATGTACAAATGACATCAATAAGCAGTGTCACTTGTTCTGAAATGGGAAGGAGTGTGTGTGAGAGTCTTGGGGGAGGTAGGGAGGTCTGTTTTGTCTTAATCTATGTAATGCATTTATATAGCATGACTCACTGATGATTGAGCATGTGTATTATGGCAGTGTCTTATCAGCGTTTTTCCCCTAGGGATATTAAGCAGGTCAGGTTGCTTTCACTTCTGCATGGAAACACTATGCCTTAGGTTTCGAGATCCTTGCCATTTTTGTTAACGTGGCCATATATTATAAGTGTTCCTCCTTTATTGCTGTTTGATTTTTGACACTGTTTTTACACTTACTAAAAGTACCGAATCTGGTACCTGGCTAAGGCTTCCTTTGAAAAATGAGACTATGCCAATAACCAAGGAGGGGAAGAAAATTTTTAAGTAGTAATTCTGACTGATGGGAGCATAATGCTTTTAATCAGTAGAAAGTAAAGGACTTTCAGTATATCTTAGAGTACAGTTGACATGACTGTCACATGAGAATAGTATATTTTGTTGTGGGTTTTTTGAAGAACTAGTTAATTTACTAAAACAAGGGCTCAAAACTGAGCAACCCCATCTGCAGACATCTAGAATGACACAGCTTGAATGTTAGAAGATGTTATCTTTTTAATAAGCAGCTTTCTGAATTTCCTTTGTTTAGATTTTTGTCTTTAGAATCCCATATTCTTCTGCAACTTACATTTTCTGAAGCCGGGAAATTGACTGAAATGCTGCCATACCTTCCTTTCCCCATGAAGAGGGCTCATTTTGTTCCTGGTCATTTAAACTGGAGAAAAGTTTGTCCTCCACCATAGTCCTCTGAAACCTATGCTTTATAAGGAAGCAGAAAATGTAGCTATTTTAACTTTCCTTGATAGCAAAGAGACTTGAAATACCCAGGATGTGCACTGCTTTTTCTAACTGAGTTAAGGTAAAAAGTTGAGGGGCTGGGCCAGTTCTTGGAAATGCTTCAAATACAAAAAACTACCTGGATAGGGAAGGTAGTAGCTCATGATATTTGGAGAGCATGGATTTCTTAGAGTAGCTTTACTGTCGAAACAAGTGTGTTCTGTAAGTACACCCTCAGTGAAACTCTTAACTCGTTTGAGAATAGATTGCATAGTAATTATTTTTACTATGGTCTACCATTTGTGTGGCTGTTGGTTAGATTGTCATTTTTGCAATAACACCTTGGGTGTCTGAGATGAGGTCACTAAACATGTAAGGGTGGGAGGAAAAAAGGTCCAGAAGACATTCTGTGTCTTCCCATTAGTGCTTGATACCTTAAAAATACCGATGCTTGATGAAGTATGAAACCATTGACCCATTTATGCTTGTGTATTACCTGTGTAAGCCACCTCTAAGGTCAGATGTCATTTTACTAGAATAAAGAGCTGAGTAATAAAACACAGTGCAAATGGCTTTATTGTGTAATTGTTGCTTTGATGGGGTAGCATTTAGGAACTGTCTTTGAGCATCGGTTGCCTAGAACAGTCGGTCTGTTGTTCCCTGATGGACCACAAATCTGCAAATGTCTTTGTTATTGTATTTTCTTTAATGCAGAAACTGATTGCAGCACCTGAGTTGTACTTGAATTACTTTTTGATTTATTTGGCCCTTTGTTTTATTGGCAAAATTCATTGTAGATGAAAGACTGAAGTGAAGAATCCAATGTAATTTTATTTGTCTTGGTAATTTGATCTTAATTTGCTTAACATCTTGTGTACACAGTGAGGAGCTAGGAGAATTCATGGAGATGAAAGGTGCCAACAGCCCTGGGATCCTTGTACTGACCACGGGCCTCAGCAAACCTTTTATGCGTCTGGATAAATACCCCACGTTACTCAAAGAACTTGAAAGGCACATGGAGGTATATCTTATCAGCATTTATGTTCCAGCTTAATGATGATTTGACAACAATTATTTTAAAGGTACATGTCAAACATGATGGGACCCAAAATTACGTTTCTTTGCTCTTCCATCAGCCTTCTAAAGTATGGGCTGCAATGGTTTGAAACTTAGTGCAGTAAAACTTCCTGTAGTAGCTAAACGTTTAAAGTAAAACTAGCCAGAGAAGCTAATGTTCACTCCTAGAATGGTTTTGCAAGGTCTTCAGATGACTTGACATTGAACGTGTCTTCTGCATACTACTTGAGACTACTTTATGTTGTAGGAGTGTTACTTCTCATCTTAGGACCTCAGCATGTTGAACATGTCACCAAAATAGTCCCTTTGGCTTCTACTGAACACTGTCCAAAAATGATCTTTCTAATACGGGAAGATGTTTGAGGAGCTACTGTTTCTGCCTTTGTATTTTATAAGTTAGATTTCTGGAGTGTGAAGGAGAGAGAGAAGTAGAAAGCGTATGGGTCTTTGTTTTGTCACACAGTTTGTTTTGTCAGTCAGTGACAGTGGAACATGGTAATCTGTAAGGAATCTAATTTGTGACAAAGTTAACATGCCAAATAAAAGTCTTTAAGATAAACACTTTCCTATTAAGATTTCAAAATCTCTTGTCCACTCGGTCTTGTAAAACTTTCTTGACTCTGTTTTAAGCATAAGTAGGAATGTTATAAGTGACTCTTCATTTTTACTACAAGCCACCAGTGTTTGATGTTAAGACTAAGAAGGCTGTGAAAAGAGAGCATATAGATCTCCAACTTCTATTTTACAGAGTTGCTTATTTGTTTTTAGTTAAGCCTCTAAAAATTTTTATTAATTTTTACTAGAATGAAAGTTTTTATTGTATGTTTTCTCCATTGTTTTTAGGATTATCATCCAGATCGTCCAGATATTCAAAAATCCATGACTGCCTTCAAAAATCTTTCTGTAAGAGTGATTAAAAAAATACATGATATATTTGAAGTAAAATGTTTTCTAATTTCATCTCCCTCTATGGCTTTAAAAAAGTGAAGCTTTTTTGTAAATGTTTGTATAAAATGCTTGAAATCTTGGAAATTGATTGTTTGTGGGCAGAGCTGGTAATTTGCTGGGGGGTTACAGCAAATAGGCTGTTGGTGTAAGAGCCGTGCAAGCATTCTGCACCTGTCTGCCCTCTCGCTCATGCTTTGTCTTCCTTTCCGCTAGCTCCAGCATAACTAGTATCCTGAAGAAGGACTTCTTGACAACAACTGAATGTATTTTCTGAGGTTTTTCTAAAGTGCATTCCTTCTAGGGGAATGACGTTGGAGTTGCAGGAAGGAGGATGAAGGGGAAGGTGCCAGTGATGTTCAGAAGATACGAAACTTCTAGTAGTAATTGGAGTAGGAAGCCTAATTTGAACAGATGAGCTGTCTGTTACTGTCTTTTAAAAACCAACTGCAGTAAGCGTATACTTAATGCAATCTCAGTTAGAATAGACGTAATGTTTTGTGTTTCCTGTTAGTGTGTGCTGGTGGTAACCTGGCACTTTCTGTCTTTTATCTTTTAAAGCAGAAATTTAGTGTTATCTGTGTTCAGAAGAGGTTTGGGGATCTCATTCTGTTGGGTGATTTACAAATAAGAGGAAACAATTCTTGTTGAGAAAAATAGAAATGAATGGGAGTACAGCTTGTAGAGCAGGCTGGAGACATTTACTAGAAATAGGAACATGAGGTTATACACACTCATAGTTTGTACAGTTGTCATGGCTCTTTTTAGTAAAGATGCTTTGTTGTATAGTCATGTGTATTCATGACAGCTGTGTTCTTTTCTGTTGAGCCTAGGCAGTTTTGGTTGGAAGTACAAAAATTTAAAATGTAAAGGAAGGAGAAATTTGAGAAAGAGCTATGACTATGAATTTGGCATGGTCGTTGAAGGCAGCGTATTGAAAGGAAAAGTAATAATACTGAAGTTAGCAAAACTAATTTTATAACAAGTATTGGTAATCGTCATCTAAATGAAAACGCTTCCAGTTAGGTACTGTCCTCTGTGTACTGCAAGCACAACTACCATTAACCAGCTTCAAATTGATAGAGTTGATAGAGGTGGTGTTTTTCCCTGTGTTTGTTAGGCACAATGTCAAGAAGTACGGAAACGGAAAGAACTTGAACTACAAATACTGACGGAAGCTATCCGTTGTTGGGAGGGAGAGGATATTAAAACACTTGGCAACGTGATATACATGTCCCAGGTCATGATTCAGTGTGCTGGAAGTGAGGTAATGTCTTTCTCATCTTTACTGTTGGTCTTTCTTTCTATTTTGAATAAAATTAATTCTAATCATTATGCACCAGCAATAAACAGAATGCTTCAGAGATACTAATCTAAATTTTTTCTAAAATTTTTCTCTACTGGTCTAAGGCTTTTATTACAAATCATGAAATAAATTTCCTTGAAGATGAATGGTCTCATCTGTAAAATTTACTGAAATGTAACCAAATACATCAGTTATAAACATCATAAGATGATTTTGCAGGACTATTTTCAAAGTGCATAATTAAACAGGATTTTCTATGTGTAGTTATGTTACAGGATCAATTTGCATAGCAGTTATTGCAGCATGTTTTAAATAACAAAAACTTTGGAGTTTTGTATTATAAGGTGTCTGAGGCATGCTTTTTCCTCGTTTTGGGCACTTAGCTCAAGTAGTAAATTTTGAAATACAAGCTTAAGAATCAAGTGGTTTTGGAGAAGCAGAATAAGAAGAGATACTGGAAAGTTGAAGGTGATACTGTGAAGTCTGGGGTGATTTTTTAAAAACAAACAAACAAAGCACACCAAAAAAGTTGTCCTGCCAGAAATAATGTTCAAATTAATCTTAAACGCAAGTGCTAAAAGAAAGGAAGTGTTATACAGATTACTGACATATTGTTACTGTAAGCTGTTCTGCTGTATAATCAATGAAGCTTTGAACTTGGTGAGGGCTTTTGAATTGCAACCTCATTCAGTCAGTTTCCTCCCTTAGAACAAAGATGTCCATGAATATGAAGAAAGACAAAAGGGTTTATGGAACTGAATATTTCAAAATTTGTCACCTGATTATTTTCCCTCAGATGTTGTTAGGTGTTAAAATAAATAACATTCAATAAAGCCGATAGTGCATCTTCTGCAGTCGAGTCTCTTCTTGTCTTGAAAACAAAACAAAACACCACCTCCACTCCCAACTCTCATCATGAGCTAAAATGTCAATTGTAATGGATTTCTAGAGGTTTCTGCATAGCATTAGAGTTTTTTGACTAGATATAGAACAGCTTCATTTCTGCAAAAGCAATTGGTTTTGGTTTTGTCTTTTTTAAAATATAGACACTTATACTGAAAAACAGATAGAAACATTATAACTTGGTAAGGACTTGTATTGTTTTGCAAAGATGCTTGAGATTGAGATGGTGGCTCTGTTAATGGATATATTTTTGTCATCAAAATTAAAACATTATACCTTGATGCTTCTCTCTTTCATTGTTTGTCTATAGCAGTAGATTAAGAGTAAACCTTCTCCTTCCACAACAATACCCCCAAAACAAAAAACAAAAGACAACTTCACAAGTGAAACCAGCAAATTAAAACCATAGTAAAGTAATGAGTATTTTCATTGCACATATAAGCATTATTACTTTTCTTTGATTTTCTCTTTCTGCTTTGGGGCATAATCCAAGATCATGCAAAAATCTGACCTCTCCAATTTGAGAGACCACGACCTTGATATTACTGTAACAACATCCATCTAAATTATGTTAAGAAATATATCCAATCTGTAATTTTGTTTTTGCTGAAATCGGCAAAACAGTTGTTACAATACTAAACAAAGTCAGTATTTCACCCAGGCTGTACAATTGCTGTTTTAAAATATTAGGCTTTACTCTCCAGGAAGAAGAATAGGCATGTGTTACTAGTATTTTTCAAATGGAAAATCAAATAATTCTGACTTTTTTTTTTTTTTTTAATTCTGTAGAGAGTTAATTTTGACAGGAACATGTGGAGTAATTATGGAGTTGTAACATTGATGGTAGTTTTTAAATAATATAAAACAGAAATAGGGGGGAGGGGGCTTGTGATGTTGTATTTACTTTTTCATTTTCTTTTTTTGGTAAGGAAAAGAATGAAAGGTATCTTCTTCTCTTCCCTAACATTTTGCTAATGTTGTCTGCCAGCCCGAGAATGAGTGGGTTTATCTATCAGGTAAAGTAATACATGTACATATGTGTATAAATGCAGGGGGGGGGGGATTTTTTCTAAATGGATATTTCATAGAAAATTTGGAAGGTTTACTAAGCTTCTGCATTTATAAAGATAAAAGGTAATTTCTGCAATAAGAACTGGTCATCTGTTTTATAAAATTCTGGACTAGAAGCCTGGGTATGATTTTTGTAGCTGTGACTATCAGTAAGATTTTTTTTATCTTTTCATTAGTAGCTAATGAGAAGAAGTATCAGTAACTTTTCAGATCTACATAGGAAGATGATGCTGTTGTGCAGGCAGGTTTGTTGGTGCTCTTCCAACTGCTGCTCAAGTCTTACCAAAATTACGTGGCACTCCTAAGCTTGCGTTGGGGTGAATTAAGCTCTGCTATCATCTGTTTCTTTAGATGTGTCTACATTAGTGTTTTATTTTTGAATCAGCAGAGCACTTTTGAAATTATTCTTCTAGTTTTCCCTGTTTACTGATATTTAAGTCACAGTATAGAAGTACTCTCAGGGCTCCCAGACTGGACTCCCTCTGGGTGAAACTGAACTGGGAGGTGTACTCTGAACTACAACTACTGGAGCAGATCAAGTACATGGAGTGGCCTCCAGTCCATGGCCCCAGCCTAGAGCTAGCCCATGTAACACCACCCAAAATGCATATAATGTGGCCTTCAGGTCCTTAGCACCAGATGTTTCACTTCACAAACCCCCTACTTGCTGCTGGTAGACATGGTCTTTGAGCTCTCTACCAAGTTTCCCAGCTGAATACTTCTTGCCTGTTTCCCCACTAAAGAAATAGAGCAGCTCTGCTGTAGTGCAGGAGGGCCAGTAACAATTGGGTGGCTCCCCTGTAGCTCGAGGACACATTTCACAGAAGCACCTGCATACCGGGTGTGTAGTTTCAAAGGCTCTGGAGAGGTGAAGTTAAAGCAAATGCACAGTCAGTGACTTTCTGAAATCTTTAACACTACTTGAACATTTATGTGTGGTTTCCAGACATCACAGTAAAATACCAAAAGTTCTAAAAGGAACCAGAGATTTCACCTGCTGTAACTACTTCTGTAAATCAGGCTCTTGGGCAGTTTCTTTCTCCTGAGCAGTGGTTCGTCTTCCATGAAGCAATGCTGAAGAGTAGTCACTGGGGTTCCTGTGTGGTAGGCTATGTCCAGTCACAGACTGTGTGACTTCAAGAGCAATTAAATTACAAAATTCTGTTTGGATTCATATCTTGCCTACCATTGGTAGTAGCTGGGTTTGTCTGAGACTGTGTTGCATTAGGTGGTTCAAACGCATAATCAAGTTTCTCTTAGATTTGTGCTGCTCTGCAGAATTTTTGACCAGGGCTTTATCCCAACATGGATGGGAAAAAGATATTAGAAAAAGCAGGTGAGCTCTATCTCAAGTGGCACATCCAGAATTCCTGACAAAGGCAGATTCTTGTGTACTGGTTACGGAGGCAACTGACTGGAAATTCAGTGTGTTAACAAACTATATAATTAAACAATGAATCTGTCAGGCTTAATTTTGCTCTCCTATTGTACATCACTTATATTTCTTCTTCCTTTTTCCCTCCTTGTCCCCCAAGTGCACAGCATTGTTCAGTAAATAAGTAATTTTCCATGCATTCATCTTCAGTTTCTGCAATGGCTGTGGCCCTAGCTGTCCAACCCTCTGTTGAATGCAAAACTCTGAATTGCCTCATAACCTCTCACATGATTTTCCCAACACTGAGAACTTCTCAAACATTGAAGACTACATATTTACAACAAGGCAAAATTATTTCATCACTGTTTGTCTGTGTCTGGATTCTGTTATGTGGGCCACCTGGACTTTTCTTCTGGGGTTCTTGTCTCAGAACAGGGATGGATACAGGCAGAAAATGATGCAGCTCCCTCAGTCATTTCCAGGGAAACAATGCCACTGGAGGCAGCATCCTACACTACGCCCTCCCTGTGTTTCTGAATATTCCCGTTATCAGCAGGCTTGAGAGATTCTGGTTAATAATGCTGGTATCTGGTACATGAGGTAATTGGGACAACTTTTAGCAGTGGTAAACGGAAGTCACAAGGGGCACAAACCATACTTTACCAGATGGCTTAACAGTGTTGTTGAAAGAAAGGGAATATAAATGATTCATGATTCAGTTCCATTTTCTCTGTGTTTTGCGGAGTTAGCACTTTTTCTCTGCATGTGGCTCAGGTGATCTTTGTTCTGTCACTTTTCCTCGGTGTATCCCTGTATTCCCTCTTCACTTACGTCAGCAGCTCTTGCACCTCTCTTTCAGTGGGCTGTATGCTGTGTTATTCACGAACCAGCAAACACAGAAAAACAGAAGAGAGAATTTTAGGCTGCGTTGTAGTGCATGACGCCACCATGTTTCCTTCAGTGTGGAAGCTGTTGCAAAAAACCTCTTCCTTTCTCTTCGGCATTTTGGGCTTGAGCATGCTCTATGCATACAGAATATCAAGTGATTTGTAGTTTCCAAGTTTCTAAGAAACCTTTGTCCATTCTGCAGTCTTTGGGGGGGGGGGAAGGGTTAGCTTTTCCCCTCCATTGGAGCCAAAGTTCCACAGTACGTAGTATTTGCACTTTTGCCAGCATGTGCTGAATAGTGTTTCTGTGCAGGAGGACAGAGAATCTGTCTTAAAGCACTTTAACAATAAAGTTGCATTTTTGGGAAACTCTTTCATCCTGACAACATTCAGCCTTATTTATTCTCTGTGTTTCTAAGAAAAAAGGTCAGAAAGTTACCCTAAACTGACTTTTTTCAGCTTGACTTGGTTTAAAATGAAAGTTACTTTCTGCAAAATTAATATATTCTTCTGAAACTTTACAAATCTAAAGGTGTTTTTACTGCCTTTGTTTTCTTTCCCCAAATATTTCTGTGAGTGAATTTAGTAGTGGGGTTATTAGAGACGTAAATCTTCAGTAAATAGTTGATGCATTTGTTTAGTGAAATCTTCCTTTCTAAATCTACTTGTACCACAGACCTTATTTTGAGAGCTAACCAAACAGTTTGCAAGCAAGTGTGCTTGAAGAGGAGTCATCGTTGCCTCTAATCATGTAATATTGATGACCCTGAAGGTCTTGGTTCCAAGAACCTGAGGCTATGAGGAGTGGCCACTATTACATTTGTATGGATTTCATAGCCTGCATAGGTATCAAATAGATTGATTGAAGTTACAGGTGCCATTTGCAGAAGTTGGACATAATAAAATCTTCCATTATGAGGTATTTGTGTGGATTTTTAGATGTTTTTAAACCCATTGGTGTTTGTATGTTTCCCAATTTACTGTGTATGTCTTTGTTCAGGGCTTTAAGTTTATATATTCTTTACTTGGTAATGTTTTTTGTGTGTTTTGGATTTAACTTCAGTGTTACTGCTTTTTTTTTTAAGGGAAAACTGCCAATGACAGGGATGACTATCACAAAACTAGAAGACAGTGAAAACCATAAAAATGCATTTGAAATATCAGGTATTAACAATAAATATATTTAGTTACTACTTATTCCAGGATATGCTATTTCAAAGATCAAATGTTCTATCTGAACAGAGGGAAAAACTTTTTCATTGTGGAGGTGACTGAGCACTAGCACAGGTTGCCTGGAGAGATCTCCATCCTTGGAGACACTCAAAAGCTGTCTGGCCATGGTCCTGGGCAGCTGGCTATAGGTGTCTGTGCTTGAGCAGCTGGGTGGATGACCTACAGAGGTCCCTTCCAGCCTGGAACATACTGTGATTATACAAATCTTGAAAGGCAGGTACCCAGAGACTCACTTGAAAGCTGCTTTTTACTGCTTGTCTTAAGCAGTTAACAAACTGTCTTTGAATGGGATTCATCCCCAAATTTCTGTATTTTATGGAGGCAGTAGCCTTGCACAAGGTCCTTTATGGTGAAGCAGTTCAAAGTATGCTACTCACTGGAAGAAAAGAAGCTCCAGAGACTCTGGAAGAGCTTTAAGAGCTTCCTTCTAGAAATGGTCCACCTCTTCCTGAGAGACCTTTAGCCTCTCTGATAATGGTGGTTGCCGTTGTGTTTACTTTGGGTAATTTCTGTCTGTTAAAGTCATTTGTTTCAGCATGTACTTTATTTTCTTGGGGGATTTAAAGGACAGTGGGAGCAGGGCCCACGTGGTGGGACTTAATGCTTTCATTCATTTCCTGGATCAATCCTGCCTCCAAGCATGTTGCATTTAAGTAAAGTAATTTTGACCCTCTGAAGTGGCAAGGCAGTATCACACATGAGTGCTATGAGGCAGAGGGAAAGAGCTGTGGTGCATGTTCTTCTGAGATAATAGCTGTGAAGCTGCCATCAGATGAGGAATGTGATGGCTTAAAATTGAGTTAACTGCAGAAGTTAAAATTATCTGCACTTAAGATTGCTTTCCCAAGTGACTTTTGCCTCAGCTTTAGCACTAGATTCAGACCAACTTTATGCCTTTTTCTGAGAGAAGATCAGTGAACTGTAATAACTTTTCCTGTATTGTAGCTCCTAGACTCAAGAATTACATTTTAGGCTATATGCAGGCTTTCCTGGGGAAGATGGAGAAGCGTAAGGCTACTAGATGAGCCTGTCTCCTACATCTGTTTCTTATCATTAAAGGTTGTGTTTAATTAATTATTAGTGGTGGGGAAAAAAGTAGAACTCCTATGCCTGGCACAGGAACACATACATGACAGGAATGTCTGTTACAACATGGAAAAGTGAGATGCTGTTGTACTGAAAATAAAGGTTAGAATTTTTTCTTAGTACTTAGGGGATACAATACTTTAGGAAATTAATGTCTTTATAATCATGTCAGATTGACTAAGTTGTTTTTCTGTGGTTTCCTACATCATCTGTTTTCTGTCACCTAGGAAATATGATTGAAAGGATACTAGTGTCTTGTAACAACCAACAAGATTTGCATGAATGGGTGGATCATCTGCAGAAGCAAACCAAAGTCACAACTGTTGGGAATCCCAGCATTAAACCTCACTCTGTGCCATCTCACACGGTAGGAAATAGCTTCTGAATTGAAGTGAATAAGCAGTGTATGCAGAACTAGGTTGTCTGGCAATTTATACCACTGTGTAAAACACTTTTCTTAGCCATTGGTAACAAGAACTGAATGTTATGACTGTAGTTTAATGGATCAAGAGATCATTCTGTTTTTAATTGTGTGAACAAAGAATAAAATGCTTAGATCTTGGTGTAGTAGTTCCACAGGGTAAAAGAAAATACATTATCATTATGTTTTCTATTTTGACAAAGTAATATGTCACCATCTTTTAAGTATCCTTTGAATGGTAGGTTTTAATTGGCAATGTACTTGACAGGCTGTGGGGAAACAATTTCCTTAAGTACCTACTTTTAGGTTCTGCATTTGAGTTACTGGATATGAATGGATCTAAATTTAGTTCCGTCCTTAGTGGTGAGAGAAGTTGGAGCAGGGCTGCTCATAGCTGTTCTTTTTTTAGTGTGTGTTCTGTCTGGTAGACAAAAAAAATTTCTTTAAGCTCCACTTTTCCAAATAATAATTCAGTGTCAAAAATTTTCAAAGGCCAGCTGTGATAAACAGAAGCACTAACTAGATAGCAAGTGACAATCCTTGATGATACCATGTCTTTATTACGATAATATGCTTTCCTTCCCATCACCTTTGTGTCTTTGACAGCTTCCTTCCCATCCAGTAACACCCTCCAGCAAGCATTCAGACAGCAAGCCAATACCACTGACTCCTGCATACCACACTCTCCCTCATCCATCACATCATGGGACTCCACATACCACGATAAACTGGGGACCTCTGGAACCTCCGAAAACCCCCAAGCCTTGGAGTCTGAGCTGCTTACGGCCCGCGCCTCCATTACGGCCTTCAGCAGCTCTTTGTTATAAAGAGGTGAGGTGCAGCAACAAAGAAACATGACTGTGTAGCAGGCCTACAGTTGGAAATTTAACTTTTTTTTTGCACACCACCATTTTACAGTTTTGTGCATGTTTTTATATAAAGATAATTTAACAGCCAATGCTGAATCAATGGTAATGGACTAGTGAATGCTGTTTATTTCAAGTAGGGATTTAGTCTTGCAGCTCAGAAAATATTAAGACTTGTTAGGAGAGGCTTCCTCTGCCTCCCCCAGGTGCTTCACAAATTTCTACTTTTTATCCAGTTAATAAAGAAGATTTTTTAAATTATTATTCTTATTTTTTTCAAACTAGCAATTCCTTTGTTATATTGATCATCCAAGCTTATTGCCAAAGTAAGTTACATGCTAAGCACTCTGCAAAGGATCTAGGGTAAGGGATCTTACAGTGCTTCAAAGTGCTGTATCAAATAATTCTAAACAGCTGTGGTGGTATAATTGACTCTTGATTCCTTAGTATTTGCCACTGTTACTAGGTAACAATAGCATATTTTAAAAAAGGTAACTGTCAAAATGTATGTAATCTTTTCATATTAGAAAGAATCTGATGGCTAATGTTACTATTAACAAAGAAAAGTAGATTTTAAGATGCTGTTGTAGTTCTTAATTAGCATATAGTATGAAACAGGAATCTGTTCCAAGAGAAATAAAATGTGGTAGTTTTAACCACAGAGAGATGGTGACAGTAGGTTAATTTGGTCCTGCCACTACGTTTTGTGTGGTTTTGTAAATAGAAAATGTTAGATTTCTGTTGGAAGTCTGCATGTATGTAAGGAGGAGAATATTGGATGCTCTGTGGCTTGGTGTTATCTCCTGTTTCAGTATCTTTGTTATGTGTTCTCGTGGTAGTAATTTAGTGTGAAGCAACAGGACCCAGAAAGAATCGTGCAGTTATGCCTAGGAACATGTTATTCTGCAAGCATGAGATGTTGACAGAAATATTTTATTTGTAGATGTGTAAATTGCAGTTTCTTACCAACTGTACACAAAACACGGTGCCCCAGTGTGGCCTGGCTGTGGGGTGTTTTTTTTTTTGGTAGTGGCTCTGTGTATGTGACTTTTTTTTTTCTATTCATTTATAAATCCCCTAAACAACAGGGAAAAAGTGATGGGTGATCTGCAGTTGAAAGGTTAGTATTTAGGCTTAGTTGCTACAAGAGGTTCTTCTGTTTGGCTGTACTATATGCTCACTTTGTAACTTAAATTAAATTACCTTCATGTTTTCATGTTTAGGGCACTAAACTCTCCAATGTGGTAAAGTTTCAATCATCTTTAGTGTTTAGCGTACAATGATGTTCAAAACCTGTCTTCATCTTCTTTGGTCTGTCCTGCTCATTCACCTTTTTACTTTCTTGTCTGTATTTTTGTAGAGGATGTCTTATATCCTTAAGGTAAGGGGTAGACCAGTATATTCCTTTTGTTCCTGTAACCTAGCATTTTTCCTGTAAATTAGCATGATCACATTTTGAGCAGAAACGCTGTGTTTGTTGCTGTATTTTTTTGCTATAGAGCTTTGTAAGAACAGACCTAAGTATTTACAAATTCTGGCTTTGAATATACTACCTGCCAAGCTTCCTTGTTAGGTCCTCTTTTACCTGCTTCGAAGTAGAGAAGTGAAATGGATTGTTTCTTCATAAGCTAAGGAAAAAAACCCTCTGTGTTAATGTGTGCCTGCCTCTTCCCAAACAGCCTGCATGCTTTTGCAGCAGCTTTTCTGTATATTTCTGTTAAATAGAACAGATAAAGTATCTGACTTTGTGTCTAGTTGGAGGAAGGGTAGAGAGGAAATCCGCCAGTTCAGGCAACTTGGATGTGCCAAAAAGTATTAGTAAACTGAATTTTGGTGCTGTTAAAAGATTTTTAGTTAGTAACTCCTGTATACATCTGAGAAGTTAAACTTCTTAAATATCATAGAGACGTTCTATTCTCTTTTATTTTTACTTTCCCTGCACAGGATCTCAGTAAAAGCCCTAAAACCATGAAAAAGCTGCTTCCCAAACGCAAGCCAGAACGGAAGCCATCAGACGAAGAGTTTGCACTGAGAAAAAGTAAGAGAGACTTGAATAAATGTCTGCATAATACAAAGGCTGGAATTACATCAATTTAAATTCTGTGAAAGTTAGACGTACAGTGTAAGCAAGTCATCTGGTTTCCTTTCTCCTGTCAGGGGAGAGGGGGTAGGTATCTCCAGAGGATGGTTTGTTTTAGTCATCCTAAGTGCTTATGTCATGATGGGATTAGTTGCTTTCTAGACCCTACTGACTACAGTGAATGTATGCTTGTGAAGAGCCTATCTCTATCTGTTCGCTACAGGGGGAAGTAAGGTTGACTATAGAGGCATGTAAACTTCAGTAAGGTAAACCTGTCTTTTAACACTGTAAACAACAATTTGAAGGTACTGTCTCACTTCTGCAGAATACTTGGTAGCTATGTTCTTAATCCTGGTAGGAGCTTCTGCTGAGATGAGTGTTGGAAGTTGGGTATTGCTACTGGTTCAAGGACCAGTTGCTTCCGTGGTCACTGTTTCTAAGATCCAACAGTCTGCTCTAATCTCCTAAAAATAAGGTCATTTGCTAGTGTCTGTGTCTGAATAAATTGCAGAACTTCAAACTGCTTGAAGTCTGAAAAACGAGGCTGAACTGAGAGAGGTTGATGAATGAAGGTCCTTCTGAGTGTGCTATGAAATTCATATGGCAAAGGTTAAAGTAGTGAATAGAACGATCCTGTGTTCATAGATGTGCAAGTGGACGTTTCAGTTGAGGATGTTTTATCCTTACAGGAAGGTATCTGTTTAGGAAAAATGGAACTACTGCAATACAGTGTAATTTCAGACGTCGGAGGATGGAGATTCAGTAGTTGTAATGACAACAGTAAAGATACCAACTTGCAGATTTAGAAATTACTGAAGAACACAGAGGAGATAGATAAGAGTTCTTTTTTGGGGTAAGGAAGGGCTCTGTAGCTTGCAAATTACTCCTAATTAAATTAACACCTTTCAGTATTTTGTATGTAGGAGAGAACTTTCAAAAGGGATTTTTGGTGGCTTTAAGTCAGTGTTACTTACAGAAATACTTACTGATTCTTGGTATTAATCTTCCCCCCCCCCCCCCCCCCCCCCCCCTCTTCT